GTCCCGCGCGTGTACTAACGTAGCACACTGATGCGCGTGTGCTGAAGAGTTAATAAGCTTGGAAAGTCCTGAGCAGCAACTGGACGAAAAGATTTACCACTGCAGTTACTGCAGGGAAAGCATGAGGTAACATGCTGCAGAGTGATGGTAAACATATCCTTCAAGACATGATGTGTTCATGACATGATGTAAAATTTTAAGTTCAGGTTCCGAGTAAGCTACGTCATTCGAGTAATGCAAGTCATTCAAGATGGATTGATCTAGAAATTATGCGGTACAGAAATGCTATTGTTATGATTTTTAGAATAGAGAGAGGGAATTAAGGGGTTACCGCTAGTTTAAATTTTAATTTTGATTTACATTATTTTTTATCTTGCATATATATAATATAAAAAATACGATGGCTTTGCTCTATGCGAACAGGCAACTTCTAATACTTTCCACAATTTAGGATCTCCCCCCTAGTACCTTCGAGAACATTCTAGCCTATTACGTAACAGCTAGTATAAATAACGAATGCGCCCCATTTTGCAAACAGAAGCTCCTCTCCTCCTGTGCTACAACACCTCGCTGCTGCTTATCTCATCCTTCCTTGTTAGATGCATAGACTTCAAAGCTAGATTTCCTCTTATTCAGCTTGAAACACTATTGGATATGTAATTTAAAGAATTTCATCTAAAAGGAAAATGATATGATATTTGAATTAAATAAAGAGGTGCAATTAAAAGCGAAATCATTCTTTGTCATCCTTCTGCTGTATTCCACTCAGCCAAGCTTTGTCATTCATGTCCACGACTGCCATATCATCACACATACATATATGTAATGAAAGCATAAATTTTGTAAGCAATGCATTGGAAGTTAGTTCTCCGCACTTTTTCTAAAGAATTTGCAAAATGAAGTAAGCACCATATTTGAATACTCGATAATATCTAACCATAAGAAAAATGAAATTGCAGATAACTTTTCCCATTGGAGTTCTAGGCAGCAGGTACACAAAATGACATGATATAAAATGAATGATTTGGAACTTGGCGGTGGCGTAACAGATAAGCAGCGAAGAAATGTGACAGACATATCCAGATTCAAGATTACTTTATTATTGAAGAAAAGGAAGTCGGAATTCGCAATATCTGGTTCACATACGGACAAGCGTCTTATGCGCTCTCCATTTTTGTTACATCAGCACATATTCCTTGAACAAAGAAGACAGCCGCAAAGCGTCTGACCAGGGAAAGATGAAGTGAAAGCGTCTCAACAGGATAGAAGCATAACGCAGAAGAGAGTGAGTGTCGCAGTAGTAATGCAGAGGAAGAAGAGGGGAGGCAAAAGTTTCAGTTTTGAGTTTTGGTTTACAATTAGGTGATTGGTCAAGAGAAATCCGCATTAAAGGTTATGTAAAATCGCATGATTAATTTGAATGACACAGTTTAGACTAAGGCGCTATTTTTAGGACAGATAGATGAAGTTCCCAAATGAAATAGAAAATAAAAGAGGTTATAGTGAATTAAATTTAGAAGTTTGCTTTCTTACAAATATACAGCGTCAAAATTTTATGAAAGTGACAAACAAAAATTCCATACTGGGATTAAAAAGAGATTATTCTCACCTATAATTACTTCCCAATTTTTGTATTCCTTAGTAACTTCATATGCACATCTCAACTCAGAATAGCAAGTTCCTCCAACAACGAACACAATCAAACGTGGAAGATTCTTTACATTTGGGGCATTTTTGTCTTTGTGCCAGTGACCATATCGCACACTGGAAAATAAATTATTGATCTATTATAAACATAATGAATAAACAGAAAAAGTTTATTTCAAATTAGCAAAATAAAAAATATAACATTATCATTTTTACACTATTTGTTTTAAATTAGAATAATTTATATTCTAACAAAAAAAAAAAAACACATACACAACATTTTTCAGACATATGTCATTTTCCAACATATTTCAATCCCCTTAAATTGAACTAAAATGAAGTTGACTACGAAGGCTAAATGCAAAAGCTGCTTTTAGCTCAAAAGCCATCCTTCAAAACATGCCCCCCCCAAAAAAAAGTAATCAGGAGAAGCAAGGTGTTAGGTACTTTTTCAAACAGTTATGTGATTAAAAAATGTAAAATCTGCTAAGACAGCTTCTTTGGAATACAATTAGGAAACAGCTGGTCTCAGTCTTTCCATAGGATATTGTATGTGCTGCTTAATGATTTATTTATGAATAATATCCCAGAAAAAGGCCAAGCATAACAGAGAAAAACATGATTGCTGAAGTCAATAGCTTTCCCATGTCTAGAAATATTACACTGGTTATCATAAATTAAGGAAAAATCACAAAAATCACAATTACTGAAAAAGTAACACGTAGAATGTTATGAAATTTACCCACAACACACAGTAAGGTATCAAATAACATAAAAAGAAATTACCAGACAATTATGGTAATATAGAAATTAGCACATGTATAAAATGAACAAATCAAAGATGTCAGTTTGCTATAGTAAAAGTACCTTCAACATGGAATATAATCACCTCTAGAAGCAATACAGCGCATTCAGCGATGTGTGATGCTTTCAATTATGCGGTCTATCAGTTCCACAGGAAGCGAAAGCCATTGCTCTTGTAAAGCAGTTGCAAGTGCGGAATGGGTCTAAGGGACAGATTGAGAGCAACTACACGTCTTCCTAAAGCATCCCAAACATGCTCGATAGGATTCAAGTCCAGGGATCGAGCTGCCACTCCATGCGCATAATTATTTCCTGTTGAAGATAATCATATACGATGTGAGCCCTGTGTGGTCTTGCATTGTCGTCCCGTAACAGGAAAACATCACCTATTGCCCCGGCATATGGGCACACATAAGCATCAAGGATGTCATCTCTATAAACATGAGCATTCAGGTTCCCCTCGGAAAAATACGGAGGTCTGTGCATCCACCCAAAGAGATGCCACCCCAAACACACACACTGCCTCTTCTATATGCATCTCTTTCACGGATGTTTGACAGATGATAACGGGTTCCAGGTTCTCTCCATATCAAATAACGGCTACTATCGCATTCTAGACTAAACCTGGACTTATCCGTAAAGAGAATAGTACTCCATTGCTCAGGCGTACAGTGGACACGTTGTCGTGCCCACTGCAAATGGTCCTTCCTATGATGTGACTTGAACGGCACGCAAATGGTTTTCACCTCGCATACAGCCACCTTCGTGATGCCTTGTACGCACAGTTGACGTTGACTCCAAGTTTCCAGTGGCTGCAGCAATGGAAGATCTAAGAAGAGTCAGAGTAGCAGTTCTATTCCTGAGTGCACATAATGTTAAATATCGGCCATCAGCGCTCGTCGTAGCAGTTGGCAGTCCTTGGCTGAACCTCCTAGGTGCCAAATCTGTGACTTGAAATTGCCTCCAAAGTCTATGAACCACAGAAAGACTCACATTTAGCCATCTGGCCACTTCTGTTTGACTTTGTCCTGCCTCTAGTCTCCCAATGGCTCTCTATCGTAGTTCTGGTTGCTTGGAGATCATTGTTACGATTTGGCTATCTCAGATTTCTGATGTCACTATCACAGTGAAATATGTGGGCTTGCTCTCAGACATGGACTTTTATGCTCGTCGCAAATGATGTTTCCAAGTGCAGCGCCACTAATTTGCATATTGGAGTTTTACTCAGCTACTCTTACTTGGCAACATATTCAAATTTTACACGGTTTGACTTATTTTTGAGGGAGTTATTGCCATTTTTGTGATTTTTCCTTAATTTATGATAACCAGTGTACAATAAAGTAGAATATATTGGTTTATCAGTTAGTACTGGTCATACTAGTTTATTTATAAATTGTTTATGATTTCTAATCTTGAACTAGATAATATTAATTAGCAACTTCACTTCTGCAACCTACTACAATACAAAGTCCGAAACCTGGACGTCCATTATCCGGAATGATCTAAAATCCGAATGTCAAAATCATCAACACCGTTTTTCTTGCAGGCTTTATGTATGCGCAGTTAATTCCCCCCTCCACGCATAATAAAACATCTGAAGAGTCTTGATTCTTAATTTCATCTCGACACTAAATAAAATACCTTGTTATTGAAGAAACAAACAGTTTAGCATAAATTTGTACGATCAATAATTTGGCTCTGTTGCTGCATATCTGCTTTTTGGCACACATCTCAAACCAAAACATTTCCCATAGATGCATCGTTGATCTGATGCCAACCTGGCAAATAATTATTTATAATACTTTCCTTTCAATACCGCATGTTTATCAAAACATGACAACTTGAGTAATGACTCATGTGACGATACCTAAACAATTTTTTTATGTTAGTAATTGAATAATAAAGGAGTATGGTAACCATTTATCTCAACATTATGCTTGGTGATGATTACAGATTTAAGTTAAATGCACTAAAAAAGGTTGACGAGGAAAAATTTACCAAAAATTTCTCCCATATGCTAAAAATAGATTTTGTTGATGATACTCATAGACACAAAGACTACATTTAGGGCTATTTGAATCAAGAATAACTGATTTGTTATTCACATAAACCCAGAACCAGCAGCAGGACTTGTACGGCCGCGACGAGTCACAGAATTTAGGACACACAGAGACTGCATCAGGCGGTAAGATATCTAGCACCGGCCCTCAATAAGGCTTAAGTATATACGGGAATTTATTTATTCAGAACTCTGATAAGTCTTAAGCATGTGCAATAAATATACATAAGTATAATAAATAACTAATACAATTCAGGCTTAATTGTCTCAGGGCACGATAGAATCAAAATAAAATTTAAAGGAACAACTTGTCATTAGTCACCAAGATCATGATGCATAGCCAAATATGTATAGTGAAGGATAGCTAAATTTGCTGATGATAACTGCTAATTTTAAAGGTTTCGGCTATCGCAAAACAAAGGTGAAATTTTCCAATTAACGGATTTTATAAAGAAATGTGGAAAAGCGGTAATAAATGAAGATGATATAAAAGAAGTTTTTCATTGTGATGACAATGCTTCTCAATCATCAATCAATTAATGAACGGTGAAATCTGTAGTATGGTTCTAGATCTACAAAATATTGCTGCCAACAGTGAAGAAAGTGACAGAGAAGTTACTGAAAACGAGAAAATTTTGATTGACAAGTTAGTCGGAAATCTGGAAACAGGACTTCAAGAATGCAACTAAACAAGAGATTACATTTGTCTACAGAAATAAAGAGAAAGTATTAGCACAAAAAACGAAACAACTTACATTAAAAGAAATGTTTAATAAGGTAAACAAATATAAAGCATTTTTTTTTTGTTATAAATTTTAATAACCTTTAGATCATAAATACTTCATTATTTCATAAATCACGATTTCATATTTTTAATTTTATAATTTCTATATGCCATCTTACTAGATTTAAACTGATGATCTAATATACGGAAAAATCCCACATCTAGAATCGCTGAAGTCCCGACGAGTCAGGATTTTGGATTTTGTACCGTACTCTGTTCATAAAAACAAAATGAATGAATGTTGACCCAAGAGTCAATTAAAAAACACCACACTTAATAGCTATTGATGAAAACTAGTTTAATAACAGCTATTTAAAAACTTGAATTTTGGCTTCAAAATCTTAAATGCAAAAGTCCACAGCATGTGCTAGCTCAAATATGCCATTATGAAAAAACCAGAATGCCCTCTGATAACATGCATCTAATGTTTGTTAAGAAGATATCTACTTGAAATAATTCAATGCATTTTTGTGGCATACTCCTGCACATTCTATGCCCATTAGTAAAAAACATTTTTCTAGGCAAATTTAATCATTTATATACAGGGGGACAGTTATTGAACTATATGAAATAAAAAATAAAATTTTCAAAATCTATTAAATTAAAAAATTTTATTCAAATTTGGAAATTAATACAGATATTCAAGTTTATGACTTCTTCGATACGCTTGCCATAAATGTCTACGATGTGGGACAGACGAAAAGCAAATTTCTGCAAAACTTACTAAAGTGTCAAGGTATCGATGCTTTCGATGACCTTCCTAATGGCTGTTTTGAGCTCAGTGATGGGTTCGGTGTTATTAGAGTAAACTTTGTCTTTAATACTGCCCCCAAGAAATGAATCACTAGAATTAAGACGAGGAGAATATGGTGGACAAGCAATTCCATTCCAGTCACCTATGGGTGCCCCAAAGCCAGAAAGTGCTCTCCCAGGACTTCAAATACTCTATTGGTCGGATGGGGGTCGTGCTCCATCTTCAACATGGAATGACATCTTTTCAAAATCTGGGTAACTTTGAATAAGAAGGATAACATCTAAAATTTTGACATAACTTTCAGCACTAACTGTCCTGTGATGAACATTGCACCAACTATTCTGCAACTTGATACAGCCCATTAAACAGTTACAAATTTGAGGCAGAGACACTTCTTGATTTCAAAATGGGAATTTTCAGTCCCCCTAATGCGAATGGCGGAATAGCCAAAGAAATTGGCCCTGGCAGGAAAAAATATGTTGGCCCTAAGGCCCCATATGAAATGTCGCTATACATATAAGTTATCAGTGTCATCATCATAAAAATTAATTTTATAAAATAATTATATATACAAATAAACTACACACAATAAATAACAGTGACTAAATCATTATATAAACAAAACAGCAGTTGATTCATAATTAAAAATTTTAATATTTTTTAATTCCAAGTGCCTGACTGAGCAAATATTTCCTCCATTATATCTCAAATTTTTGCTTTGTTCATCAATAGCAGTGACTCCATTGCTTCATAGTACTCCTTAATCTACTTTTTACAATTTTTAATTTTGAAAAAGCTCTTTCGCATTCAACTTGCATTGTAAATAGGGTAAGTACAAGCTTTTAAGCAAAAAAGACACTGGCATACGCATTACTATACAAATTATATTTCAAGAGTAATTTATATACACACAGCTTTGGATTAATGCTCATTAACAGATAGAGCACTTTCTCCTTCTGACTCATCAGATTCAAAATAATGATTTTCAATTGAATTTTTTAGTAGTTCCCATTTAATTACTAGAAAAAACACTTTTTTTTTTTTTTTTTTTTTTTTTTTTTAAGATGAAACAACAGGTTAAACCAGTTTCAATGAAAACAAATTTCCCCAATTTTTTACAAAATGGCACGTTTACTATCAATAAATAATATACTTATGAACTGAAACCAGAAATACTACAGATCTATACCTGGTTGGTGTCGGACGTCCGTAATTAGTTGGAGCTACACGTCCTGCTAAGAACGGAAAATGCTTGGCATCCAATTTATCATCTATAGCATCCTGTACATAAAAAAGTTTCACAAAAAGACATTGATTAACAAAATATATAAAAACTGTAAAATAGTTACACAAAAAGATAGTGGGTAATGAAATGCATAATAATTAATATACAGCTTAATTCACTCAATACAGCTTTCAGGCATCATAGCACAAAACGCCGTCATTGAAAATAGAGAGGTTAAAAAACATTGCAGCTTTAAAACATAGTCATAGAAAATATTGTGGTAAAAAATAAAGCTTCTACAATCCTCACACGATGATAAAATCATATACCCGCATTTTCAGGCTACAAATAGTTTACATTAAAATTTGCATATTAGCATGCTAGTGCAAGAAGGATTGAAGAATATTTTTACTTTTATATTTCATTTTTTAAATGAACTAACAAATTTTTGATAAAAGAATAAGAAGGCAATTTAAGCATTCATAAACTTAATTCACATACTTATATTCATAAACTGAATATAAGTAGAAAATAGTGCTAGGTATAGCAGTTAACAGAATTTTAAATTTATATAGTTAACTAATAAATGTCATTAATTAATTAATCTCTTAATTTTTCATGAAAAGAATAGAAAAGGAAGATAAGTAACTGCATGTGGTTACCTCTATTAAATTTGTTTAATTTATAAAATTCTGTTAATATTCTAAATGAGGCTTGAAATACTCTTTAGACTTTAGCATAGCAGAATCGTGCATGTTTTCTCCCTTCGTTTAATAATGACAAGTCATTTTCAAGCAGTCTTTTGTTTCCGCCATGGAAGTCGTAAAATTTGCATGATTGTCAGATGTTATCTGTGGTCTAATTAAGTTGCTATATTTGTAATTTTCTTAAGTTTATTTTCTTTATGCTTCATGAATATATTTCATTATTATCAAATGCTTATTCAATTACTTTTTTTTTTTTTCTTTGCAGATAATATAAATTTTGGGAAATAATCTAATCTTCTCAGTTTCTTCCTCCCATTAACTATATGTTTCTGAAGATACAATTGCTATTTACCCTCTAAATACAAGTTGAGAGATTCTAGAGAAAATGTTAATTTCCTTAAAAATTTCAATTATGGTGTTACATTAAAATACAGATTATTCTATAATTCCACACAAATGTAAAATGACCTGCCCATTTTAAAGCAATTAATGCCATTTTCCTGTTGCATCAGGTACTAAAGCTATTATAATTTCCTTCTAAAATTTTTGAGGGGAAGGAAAAGGTAAGACAGTTGTACCAAATCCTGATTTAAAAGAAATAATTTTTCCAGTACAACAGTTGTACCGCCGCTTTAAAGAAGTCAACTGCTTTAAGTAAAATTAATTTTCTACTCATTTTCAGTTTTTTAATACTTAAGTTTACTTCTTAACTTCTCAGCAAAAATTTATTTTCTTTAGTTAATCTTTTTAAAATCTTTAGTTAATTCAAAAATATAAAAGTAAAAATATCCCTCATGCCTTCCTATGCTCACAAATCATTATGCGAATATGCATTTACAACTTTTAAAGCCTGAGAAACTCATGTCTGTGATGTTAACATCATGTGATGATTTCCAGATGCTTTATTTTGCACCACAATGTTTTCGATGATGATCTTTTTAAACTATGAGATTTTTTTATTGCTTTATTTTTTTACCATGATGTTTTGTACTATGATGTTTTAGAGCTGTGATGTTCTTGCCTTGCTTTCTTTACTCTTACAATGTTTGTTTCTCTCACATTGTTTTTCTATATTGTGAATTTTTTACAAATCTGTAATAATTAAGAAAAATAAACTAACCCCTCCCCCATATTTCCAAATATAAGCCGATCTGCATGTAAGCCAAGAGTAGATGTTTCTTCAGAAATTTACCCAAAATTCAAAACTTTACAAAATTTTCCTTTTTGTAGCCAAAATGAAAAGAAAAATTCTGTAACATCCAAACATGTCAACATCAGGGTTCAAGTGTTGCCAAGTAAATAAAATAGATGGAATATTTTTCAATGAATCTGGAGTAGACTACAATGTGAGATGCCAACAACAATAATTTTACTGGTAACTCTATTTGAAGCAAGGGCATCTTCTCCAATCACTTGTTGTCTTGTATTGATCTGTGATATCTGTGCTGTCTTATTTTATTTTCCATTGTGCCTACAACACAACAAACCAGCAATATATAAAGTTTCATAAAATGAATAACTCATTTTACTTAAAACTAACTTTTTCATAAAAAATAAAAGTGACATTTTGGCGATTTGAGTCCAGTCAATTTAAAAGATCCACATTTTTTTCAAAATTAGCAGATCTATATATTAGTTGACCCTGTAATTAAGGTTTAGAAAACGCTCTGAAAATTCTTGGCTTATACATGGAAATGTAAGATAAAGGCAAATATAATGACAGATATGAATTAAAAAGCTGAAAATAAGTTTTTCTGATACACACACAGGGTTCATAGCCACATTTTAGTTAAAAAAATAAGCACCTATAAGCACTTTTCAAGCACATTTTAAGAAAAAAATAAGCACCTGTCTAATTACATTATACACAACTGCATAAACATTAAAAGAAAAATTACACTTGCAATTTAAAATATGAGCAATGCAATATTTATTAAGAGAATGAGCATTACCTCAACCGTGGAAAACAATTACCTTTTTTTTTTTTTTTAATTTTAAATGACAGTTCAATTTACAGAATTAGTTTACAATGAGAGGAAAAAAACTATGCAGAACTAAACTATATTACAAGATTTAATGATGAAATTTCAGTTCAAAATATAGAAAATAAATAATAATAAGCCATATTAATTGTATTTGCTTGGCAACTTATAATAAATACAATTTATTTTTTTCACTCATATTAATATTTAAATAATTTAAATCAAAATTCTGAACATTTTCTAAATTTTCATTGTATAACAGTTTTCCCTTAACATATATTCCAAGCAAAGTAATTTAAGTAAAAAAGAGGAACATTTCTGAAATCAGGAGACTGGAAATTGCTTCATGTAGTCATACTTTAACAGTAAAAGCTTAACTAACCCGCATACTCGGAAATTGCCGAATATTCCGTATAATTGAGCGTAACTGGAAAAAAAAGAAGGGGGGGAGATTGTAGCCGTTCTTTAGATTTCTCGGCTAAATAAATGATTTTGACATTTCGATATATGCATCATATAAAAATAGACCAACGGAACTGAGAAATATTCTGCTTAGAAAGAACAGTAAAACTCTTTTAAGTGTTCATAAATAAATCTCAGTCTGAACATCAAAATTAATTATCTCTGCAAAATACCGCAAACGTTATTGTGTAATACGTGCGGCGTAATTCTTCCATACGTGATATTACGCAATCGGAATCAACAGCTGCCGGTATTCGGAGAATAAAGAACTAAATAAAGGAAAAGAAAGAGACTTACTAATCTGGGTGTTTTTGACTCTAATTTTGAACAGACCGTTAAATTTCCGGAATAGAATCATTCTTCACTTGGGTTGGGTAGACCGCAAAACTTTTAGTCCTATTCAATCCAGATTGGACAGGACACACAAAAACAATTTAAAAAAATTTTTTTGACTATTCGATTACTTTTCTTTTATTTAAGCCATTCCAAATATTATTCCTTAGAAAGCTAATCTGTGTAAAAAAAAAAAAAAACCATTTTTGGAAGTTTATCTAAACTTCAGCAGCTACTGCAACTATATTATTATAAATATTCATACATATGCTCATAATATAAGCATAACGATCATAATAAACACGAATATGAACAGACCACGCAGAACGAGAATGTAAATTATTAAAATCTTGATAGAAATTTCAAACACGTGTAGTATTTCGGTGGGAGGAAAAGAATACCGAATGTACCGGAATTTTCTACGGTTTTCGCAATTCTTTGACCAATAGAACGACGTGCACCTGTCTGTACTCTCGCACGCACCGTAGGTTACCTTAATGCAGAGAAGGGGGGAAAGCTATTTCCGGGAGTATGATTCCCCATCCGACGTTCCATATAAGGAAGAAAAGTTGTTTATTTAGTTTCAGCTTTGGTACCCGGGGAGGGGGGGGGGAATTCGCGTTCATTAAAAAAGCACTAAAAGCAAAAAATAAGCACTAAAAACAAAAAAATAACGGCTTTAAAGAAAAAGTAAGCACCTATAAGGACCTTTATATTTTATTTTATTTTCAAATATAAGGACTTATAAGCACTTGCAGGGACCGCTACGAACCCGGACAGTCTTATAAAAGCCAAATATCATTTTTAACAAGCAAATCAATCTTTTAAGAAAAACTGCATTACGAAAAATTAATAAATTTTGTTTTTAATAACCATGAAAATTCTCCTGAAAATACCTCCATTATGTCTTTAATAACGGGTGTCCACCTGGACATTTGATAAGTTTGTTCGGTAATCCTTTCTTTTCTTGGTACTTGATATGGCTTTTTCCTGCTTCCCTACAACAATGAAAATAACACTGTTTTATAATAATCAGCCACATCTAAATAACACTAAATTAAAATTCGTCAGCCATACTATTGATTATAATGTTTATTTGCTCAAAATTCATAAAAACAAGTGAAAAAACAAGCTAAAATGAGCTACCATAAATTTCAAAATATATTGTCACAAAGTAAAATTTTGCTGCTAAAGTACAGTCAAAATTAAAACCCAGATATAAGCTGAACTCCCAAATTTTAAATAGTACAAGAATAACTGGCCATCTATCTCAGCTAGACTTATCAGATGACTTGAAGACTTCAGACATTTGAAAAATAGGGGAGAAACATTCATCACATTTGTAAAAAAAAACCACATCTGTGCTTGATAAAACTGAAAATGATATTATTTGTGAAGCATATGATAGTAATGGTAACAGTAAAACGGAGAATACTGCCATTCATTTAGACTTGCACGCAGCAGTTTTCCAAGAGCTGTTGCAAAATTCTGATTCAGAATCTGATAGTGTGTTTGATTAACGCATGACAAAATTAAATAAATTTAAAAAAAAAAATATGAAAGCTTTCAAACTTTATATTATGTCCAAAGACCTTTTTTTTTTTTTTTTTTTTTTTCATTTAAACATACATATTTCAAGTGACCCTTTGAAAGCATTTGAAGTAAATATATTTAAAAACAACATACTTTTAGATTTATTAATGGATAGTGTCACGTGCTGAAGATAAAAATGTTTTTTTCCATACAATGTTGCCACTGACACTTTGAGATTGTTGGGTTTGTTAATAAAATATTTGTTGAAATATAGCATTTACTGCTTGTCTCAGTAATTCTGTTTTGTAAAGCATTTGCTATTTATTTTCAGTACTCATACCTAATATTATATATGGCATACAACAAAATAAAGAGCCAAATTTCAAAGAAATATAGTTTATGTCTATATTAAACAAGTGACAGCCAACTTCTGTACCCACGAATGCAATTTTAAGTTGTATCTTGGGCAATGATTACACAATTTATTGTGTAGCAAATATTTAGGAATAGATCTTGGAACAAATAAATATTAATTATTTCAGAATACTCAACTTAATTTCAAATAAATACATGAAGATAGTTCATGATTACACACATTAAAATATAAGAATTAAGAGTAAAAAATTTTATTAACTTAGCTTCAGATCACAAAAAAAGACCTCATTGGCCACATATGGCCTACAATCGACAGTATCAAGCATCAAATGTAATGCCTAAAAGACATGAACAGCAGGATAGAAAACATTAAAATAAATGTGATGGGATGACACATTCCCAGGAAATTTTAATGGTTTGCTTCCCAATAGTTAGATTTTCAGGTTTTGTTTTAAATTATGGTAATTAGATTAGAATTGGTAGCAGATAAAATGGATATGTCAGAGGTAACCCTCCTTTAAGTATACACTGAAATATATACCCTATTCCAATGATTATTACCCCATATATAAACTGCCAGAATCACATGAAAATTTTTGAAAAAAATGCCCTCAAAATTTCATCTGTGGCAGTGCACTTTACTAATTAATATATAAGTATCTAACGTAATTAATTGATGTACTGAGGTAAACTCTGGCTGCTATTTTTTGTTTATGAAAGAAAAATAGTATTAAAATATTGTCATGCAGCATCCCATACTAAACATTCATTTTTTTGGGCAGTCCTGTTTCAATTCCCTTGCGAGATGAAGATTTTCGGATTTCCAAATCCTCACAATGGAAGACCACCACAAAGTGTTAGGAAAAAAAACTTTAATGCAATAATACCTAAAACATTTATAGCACTATCTCTTACAGACAGCCCACAATAAAGCTAAACTTGTTCAGGAACTTTGTGGATATCTTAAACTACAAAAACTAAACCCCACTATCTAAATGACTGAACCCCACTGCAGCTTAGCACAATCATATCTGAATTCCGAAGCAACATACTAATTACTGTTTCTAGTGACAAATGAAACTTCGGCAAACTAAAATAAATCTTCATTCGTTACATATTATTTCCTTATTATTATCTTCATTTGGTCAAGAAAAAATTTTCAAATATAGTCATTCTCTCTGCACACAAATGAAATGTCAAGTATTTAAGAAAAAATATTGAATTTGCATCATAAAAAAAATATGAAAAGAAATCTTGAAAAATTAACGTAATGCTTTTTGTGTTAATTGTAATACTAATCATGTTATTTCAATGCTGCTTAGTATTTTTTAATGTTTTAGTTTAAAAACTGTGACAAGTGCCATTTTTTCTGAATACATTAAACTAAGATTAAATATGATATTGGTAAATATGGTAAAATTATAAGAAATAGTACTGTGGTTTGAAATAGTTATGCTTAATAAGTATAAAATTTATAGATATAGTTAACTTGAGTGTGTGTAGATATTCCCCCACCCAAATAATCAGACACTCTGCATGTTATACAGAAGCATATATTTACCTATTTGCCTCAGGCGAAAAATATGCAGGTACGACTCTGACCATGGTAATTTCTTTATGCTCTTTCCTCACATAGTTTCCCTCTTGTATCAAACATTGTTGACATAAAGTTCTTGCCTACAAGTTTTTATTTGCTTTACTTTGATTATCTACTGTTCACATGCTCTGTTTACATCATTCTCCTACACAAGTATACACAGATCCTTGAGCAACTGCACTGTTACATTAAAATCCAAATATTCACTGGAAAACAGATATGATCTGAATTTTTTTATATGTTACACTTTAACAAAATGCACAAACTGCCATTCAGTATTTTTCTTTACATCACAACTATTATTCATGCCGCATTTGTTTTCACTTTATCTTTTTCTGCTTGTGCATATACACTTCATTCTCACATTACAAAACTCCTGCCATGTTATGTATCAGTGAATCTATTATTTACATACAGTTGTTATTGCATATCAAAATCTATAGATCATCTGTCAAGTTGGCTATATGGCTAATGCTCACATGGATACTAACTTAGGCCATATCCAGTATCAGATGTGCTACAAAACTTCTAATGAAATTTTATTCATAGATTTTGATTTGATGACTTGTATTATTTATGCAAAATAATTCATTCTGACTTAGCCTGATTAAACTGCTTAATGTTAAAGGTGTTAGAAGTCATACTTACATCAGTTACTATATTGACTCCCAGCATAGCCATGTTTGTTATCATTGCTTTCTCAGTTGGTGGAATCTGTGCATGTTGGATCAATTTAGCAAGATTCTCTTCTGTAATACCTGTAGACAGTGAAACAAATCAACATTTAATGAGTTTTATATATATATACACACACATGCAATATATATATATATATTTCTCTTCATATATATATATCAAGAGGAAAAATAATGTGTGTATAATGCAATTTACAATAAATCTATATGTGCAACAAGGCTGAATGTAATCCATTTTCAAAATTGTAACAAATATAAAATACTGTTGACTCCCTTTTTGGATTTAATCTCTAGCTTATATGGTAGCATTTTTTAAACTGATACTATTCAGAACTATCTGTAGCTCAAGCTATCAGCAGGAATGCTACCAAATTTGGTAGGGAGAATATGACAGCATGGGGAAAAAAGTCCCTAAAAAAAATTAGTTCCAAAAGTTGCCTTTTGGGAAAAGCTGTGGTGTTATTCTAGTCTACATAACTAAAAATTTGAATGAAATGCAGATAAAATTTTAAAATGCAAATGCTCAGTTACTTAAATGACAGGAGCTTCAATAATTGAGTCTATAAAGACAAGGGGGAAACACTGAAGATCATTCCAAATGGTAGCTGGGTTTAGCATTCGTCTCATTTTACCTTAACATGCATTACTTGTGACATAAGTTGCTTTTTCCCGCTTGCCACCTTGCTTCATGGATCTAATGCAAGAAACTTTTTTCTGTAGGGTTATTTGGAGTTCAAGGTGTATCTTGATGGGGTCCTGATCTTGATGACTTCAAAGGTCAACATATCATGGGCTATGCTGAGCATTCCTAGTGACATGTTACATTTAGCCATCAAGAATGTGATATAAAGGATACAATATGTGATCGTGGTCACACCAGGGTCTATGCCCTTATCAAGATTGAATGAAGTATTATGGTGCACTAAAATACTATTACTGTAATACTCTGGGGTAGCTCATTTGCTGTACTAAAGCAATGCTGCACTGAAATTTTTCCTTTGTCATTGATTTGTCTAATTTTCAGCTATGTAAACTATTGATTTGTCTAATTTTCAGCTATGTAAACTAGAGCAGCTCTATATTCCCCTCCCCTCCATGAGTATCTTTTGGAACTAATTTGTTTCACAGAATCTCCTTTCGGCATAAGTCCCCTTACCCAAGTTTGGTCACATTCCAGTTGATAAATCAAACTACAGATTACTCTGAGTTGTGTCAGTTTAAAAATAAACACTATTCTATTCTTTAACGAATTGATTGTTCAAATATTGAGATGGAAAGATTGCACAAGTAATTTAATTTCCAAAGAACAAATGACTGTTAACAGTTACAATAACAACATGACAAATGAAAAGTACTCTGGATAAACTACTGATAACTATCATAATATTATATTTTTGAAAGAAACTTGCATTTCAATATGAAGGCATAGCAATATTAACATTACAATATCTGATGGATATCAAAGCAAAATCTGATGCTTATTGTTATTTCATTATACCTCTGAATATCTCGAGATGCAATGATTAATGTGAATTCTTTTCTTTATTTGCTTCTGTTCACCTATCAGAGTATTATGTGACATAATGTATGCTTTCTGCAGTCTGTTAGTGTAAGCTCTGAATTTCAGTAGTTGAAATGTTGATTGCTGTAGTCCAAATGCTTACTTTTCCATTATCTCAATAACAGTTTTATTAATCCACGGTGCAGGAAATTAATTTTAACCGTAGTAACTGGACATGCCATGCTTATCTAGCACAATTACCTTGTAAAACCCTAGGTGTGTTTATATTGCTAAATGTTTCCTCTACCTTATGACAATGTATCATCATATCACAACCAGATTTTTAATTTCAACAGCTGTATTTTTTAGTTGTTCCTCTGCAAAAACTCATTAAATCATTCAAACTTGAGTAAAAAATTAACAAATAAAGTATTTATTTAATATTTCAATTCCTGTTTTAAATAGAACTTACCATTTTTTGAAAGTATATATAGCAGTATTATACGTATTTTATCAAATGCACTAACAGCACCATCAAGTAAAATAGGAACAATGTTCCTCATAGGATCCTTTATCTTCTCACCTTCAGCATCTGTACCCATAGCTAAATCCTACAAATTACAAATTAAAATAAAAAGTAAGCAATAAAACAATTAATAAATACTAAATGAAGCTGAACAATGAATAATTTTAAATTACTTTACTAGCAATATGTTTACTAGCAATAGCAATATGTTCATGCTTTCTATTCAATTAAGCATTTTATGACAGAATACATACCTTAGCATATCGAAAATGATTGCTTTGCATTTTGTACATCACGTTTCATAAAAAAATTTTTTTTTTTTTTTTTTTTTTTTTTTTACAATTCAAGAATTACTACTACATAGAAAATATCCCACCTCCCTGTGAAAGACTTTCTAAGGGAAACTGGGTCATATGTATGTTGCATGTGGCAAAAACTATGAAAATGGCCAGCCTGTTTACTGGGATTCAAATCCCAAATTGAACTACCCGTGTTCAGTGACTTTACCACTCGGCCTCTGATGGGCCTAAGAGAGACAGATATGAGTATTTCATAAGAACAGCAAACGTATTTCAGAAACCAAAATTTTTCGCTTAAAAGTATTCAAATAAATGAATCATTAATGAAAATAATTTTTAAAGTAAGACAAAAATAACAAAGGCAAACTTAAAAAATCTGAATTAATGAACATTATTAAATCTTTAAAAATCCTTAAATCAGTTTTCCAACTGAGAAAAACAAAACGTCAACATAATTTGAAGTAAATCAAATTATGTTTTAGTATTTAAAACCTGCTTTTATAATATGAACCATAATAAAATTAATACAAAATATTAAAAGATTAGGAAAAGTATTTTACTATACTTGTTCAACTTTACATAGTTTATCAACATTCCCCTGGTAACACTTCATGCAATCTTCAGCTAAATGCAAATAAGTGGAATATTTGCTCAATTCTTTCTGATACTGAGGCATTTTCTTTATCATCACAGATAAATCTTTAAAACTTGCTTTATCAGTTGATGCTGCCATTCGTTTGCTTTCAATGAATGTCTTTAACTGCTTGGTAACACTCCTATGAAAATTTTTAAACATATACAGATTAAGTATTATTAAATACATAATTATTTAAACTACATATTTTGAATAATAAAAGTTATGTAATGATTCCTACATCTTTAAAAATTTACATTAGTCTCTACCTGTAACGGCATTTAACATTGCAGAGAAAGTATCATAAAATTACACTCTGCAATTAGTGAAAAGAAACCATACGTACACAAAATCTTGGATAATGTTCACACTTTCAACCTTATCAGCTTTTATCTGTAACTAGAGAGAGCTCTTGATATATGGTGGTAATTAAAAAAAAAAAAAAAGTGCATAAATGCATAAATTTCGAAAATTCTGGGTTTTTTTTAGCTGGAATACGATTTAGCATCGACTGGTAGAAATGCCATCTAGTAGCATGAAATAGTAAGGAAAACATGAAATGGAGAAAAATATTCAGTTTTGAAGTTCCACAGCGAGTGGCATAGGAAAAAAAAAATACATAATGTGAAGTCTTGAAACAAAATCTTGAAGCTGAATATAAATTACAAAACGTGATGAAAATAAACAACTGGCTATTCAGGAATTCAAAATGCTAAGTACACTGCATACAAACACAATTATTGACTAATATGCCACATTATGGTGAACTGCTCATGGTTTTTTGCATAGGGTCACAGTCCGTAAGGTTAACGATGTGGTTTAGGTTGAAAAAGAAAACATTATGCAAGCTAGAAAGAATAAAATCTTCTGTTGCACTTTCTGATCTTTATATAATTTCTGGTTTCTGATAAACCATGGTACGCTTGTGATGATCCTTAAAACCTTATTCTGAAAAACTATAAGTTTTTCTTGTCAGTTTTTAAAGCTAGCCCATATAGGTTAGTTAGTTAGTTCTAAGCATTGGCCCCCCAGCCCACCTAGCAGGTAAAACCTGCCATATGGTTATGGCAGGTAGCCCATATAGGTACCTGCTCCTGCTCACTACTCGATACACCACGAACAATGATGTCTACACATCAAACTACTGCAGTAAACTCGCAAAAATCGTCGGCCAATCAAAATACAACTCATTACATAAACTACTCCATAGTAGAAATGCAAATGATTAAAACTTGAATGCCAATGAATGTAAGCAATATGCTTACTGAAGACATATCAAAGAAGCCTTAGCGATTTTCAGGGGATATACCTGTTTATTATTCAATGTAAAATTGTCATTAACAATGACCAAAAATGCTTCTATATATTCAAACACTGTATATACAACTGAATGTTTTCAAAAGTCGTCATATTGAAGGCCTAATCGAAGGAAGTTCGACTGCTTGCTGAATTTGTGATCATTTCATAAGATTTGCACCAAAAGTTCATGATAGTACATATGCACAAAACAAAAACTGTCGTCAGCTCAGAATGATAAATATGATATTCTTCTTTTACAGATATCCAAAAGGCTTTAACAGACAATTCCTTATGTTTAATCATTAATGCACAATTAGTGGATATAGCTGACAGTTCTCCTTTTATTAATGTTAAAAATCAAAATCATTTAAAGTTTACATGAATAGGTTTCTAATTCAATAATACTGCTTCGTGTTAAGTGATGCAGAATAAGAACACAATTTTCCTTCTAAATTTATCAAATGCTCAACTACTATAGGAAGTGTTTAATTTATGTAAGTGTTATTTACCAATGGAAACCTTTCCAAATTACTTTCAATAGATTTCACCCCCCCCCCAATCTGTAGTTTTCTCTGAATTTGTTTTTTTGGGGGGGGGGTCAGTGGATGTAAGAATACTTTCTTCTTGCCCTTGCATGCTAGTATTAAAAAGATACCGAGTTGCTAAAATATATCCACCAAACACTGTAGACCTCGTAACCTAGGATCTGCACCAAAGGAGGTTACAAAAATGTAACTGTTTCATTCATCTCTTCGGAAAACTCATGAAGTTTTCGTAGCCCTGTACATGGATAAGTACTTCTCTGGCGTCTCCAGACCTGTCTTCGATGACTGTCACCACACAGCTGGAAGCGAGATTCGTTGCTAAAGACTATATGTCCCCAGTCAGCATTACTCCAACCTGATAGAGCCAAGCACCACTGTAATCTGGCTCAACAATGTGCAGGCATGAGTGGCAGATGGTGAAATAGTCAGTACAAGCAATAGATTTTGCTCTATCAGCTGCCTGTGAATGGTCATGGTGGGCACTCGTGTGTGGTCTGATGGCTCATAGCGTTGAATCGAGTGCTGTGACAGCTGATATGACAATTTCTCTGTCCTCCAGATCTGTTATGGCCCTAAGTCGACTGCTACTATCCACGACGCTGAAATCTTCCATTGTCCACCCATTCTTGCCAGCATCTTCTAATTGCCACATCGCTTCAACTCGTATGATGAACGATTCTCCAATTTGACCAATCTGCCTCTTTCAATCCAATGATATGAGCTCCTTATATACATCTGCTGGATGAGCAGTTCTGATGTGCTGGAGATTGCACTTTTCATACATTGGACATCAAATTTTAATCATTTGCATATTTGGTCAAAGCATTTATGTATACGAAATTTCAAAGCAATCATATGATTCCTTTTTGGTGTGCCAAATTTTTTTTATAGTGTATATTTATTTTTATATCTGGACACATACTTTTCCAGAATAATATAAAGCACACCAGAAAATCTTCTAAGGCACATCAATGTACCCTGTATGAACCACTGTCTTAGAAAGTTAATTACATTGTAGGGATTTATATTTATTTTAACTAAACAAGTTAAAGTTTTATTTTAAACATCTCCATTCCCCTAATTGTCAGTGCCAGAATATTTAAATTTTGTAGCGCGCGTGAAGGAATGCAAATTTCTACTTTTCAGGAAGTATTTAAAAGCCGAGTTTTGGTAGGAGAAAAGGGAGAGTTAGGCTCTAGCTGCCACCTCTGCCATAGGTACGTTTGCTTATTGTTGGTTCAAGTGGCTTAATTGAATTTAATTGTTGCCGCTAGTTTCGAAGGAGGTTTACGTTACGGGATTTCGCTGAGCCCTATAGTTTAGTTCTATCATTTGTTAATATCTGCAACTTTTAGTTTCATTACCTGACTTACATTACCCGAGTTACTGTCCAAGCAAAGGCGAAGTTTGTTATCACCGAGTTGACACATTGTAAATTTTAAAGAATTAATAAAGGACACTTTAACCCTTATCCTGTGTAGCTTCCTGTTACTCCAGTTTTCAGACAGAAGTTCACCTACTGGACACTATAACATATTTGCACAAAGATAGAGACAGTTTCAGATATCGGCCACAAGCACAGTGACTTAGTTCATCACACCTGGAATCATCTATCATATTTCATAGCCTCCCTAATTCTGTTGTGTTTTCTGACACTCTTTTACAGTACTCAATTATTTATTTTTCTATAATGACCTTGAAACAGAAGTATACATAAAGTAATTCTCTTATTGTACATTCCAACTTTGGAAATAGAATACACTTCAAAAAGATTATTTTAGCTTATAGTTTCCCAACGTGGATATTACTGCCAATTAGCAAAATATAATAAAATGTTTGAAATATTTACATGCCCATTTCATGTAGATGTGAACAGTGTTCCTGAAAATCTGTAAATGGAGTTAATCGAGTTACAATGTAAGAATGACATGAAACAAATTTTTGCACCCACATCAAAAATTATTTTTACAACACTTAGATTACATCCAAGATATTTCAACTTAAGATATTTGGCACAAGGCTTTGCAAGTGCTTTTGTATCCAGATATGTTTGTGAAACATTTTTCGAAGATAAAGTTTACAGAGTTCTTCTCGTGCTTCATTAACTGAGGCCAACTGAGAAAATCAGATAAAATGTGCAACATCGAACATAAATACAGATTTATAAAAATTAAGTGAAGGATATGATAAACAAATATCTCATTAATTAAGACTAGAAAGTTCATTATATTTGAATAGTATAACAATAAAGTAATATATAACAATAAATTTTGTACTTTACGGTAAAGTTTATAGATAGTATAACAATAAAGTTTCATTCATTTAGTATTTGTATTGCATTTTTTAAAAGCATGTTTACCTAAAGTGCAGCCTGCTATACCATTCCTAATTATCAGTGGCCTGAGAAACCATTTGGCTTGGCCAGGTCTGATATACAGTATACCCAAGAAGCAAATCCTTTTGGTATATTATTCATCAGTTGTATTATCCCAGCAACCATGAAAGTTGATAAAGATTCTCCCTCCAATCTGTGCCGATAATTTCTGACGCATTCTGAATGAACTGATGCCTCTTTATTTCATAAACAATCAGTATTCATACCGCTTCATTTTTGTGCTTCGTAAAATAAGGCTTTCGTCAATTTCTACTTTTTTGTTAGGCCCTTTGATTTTACCGAAGTTCTGTTTAGAATGCTACAGAGTACAAACTTCCCACAGGTAATTGCCCCAATCTATTATTGTTTTGGTGACTATATTCAGCTGACCATATTGTGTTCATTAATACAAACTTTTCCCATAACTTTGAAAATAATTCACTCTTTGCTGTTCTGTAGAAGTCAAGCCCCAAATTTTAAAAAAAATGCAAAATGTGAGGGAAAAATACAGCAATGACAGTTAATTCAGATCCTTTTTTACAAAAGTTAAAGGTCAATTATTGAGAAACAATCCAGATTACATCAAATGAAAGTGCAAATATTATGAGTGTGCTGTCACATGTATCCACAACTGACACTGCTTGGCAACACTTTCATGATTAACAGGTAAGTATCACTCTTTCAATAACTCCTACTGTTACATGAATTTGTGCATGTTTTGGAGGATCATTACTATAAACATTTAAACATTACATAAAATCTAACAGTTATCATTATTATTCCATACTGCATGATGAGTTCTAATCAATAATTTGATGTAATGCAAGTGTATTATATACCTAAAAAGTTTAATGCACTTTCAGCCAACGTCTACAGACTATATTCAACAAGCATCTAATATATGACTGTAACAAGAATAAGAGACACTGAGAAAAAATGAATTTTAAAAAAGGTGGCAGGCAGTGAGTCAAAAAAGGTTGGGAAACTATGTTCTAGCCTCAACACATTTGTTATTCATTTTCTACACATTAGCTGCACAGCTTGATCATTCTGTTGCAAATCTACTACATACTGAAAAAATTTGTTATGTAGATATCCATGGTCACACTTGAAATTCAGATTGAAGACTTACAATTAACTCAAATACAGCATAAATGGTTTCATTAATTCAGTTTTAAGCCCTTAAAGAAGAGAAATCAGGTCATTCGTACTCAGAAATGTGATCCTCTTATAATATTTACAATTACAGCAGAGCTTAAATTTTACCATTTATAAAACTGCCACTTACGTAGATACAATAGCAATGTGTTGATGACGCAGTTCGACCCACAGATCATCATTTTCATCCAACAGAACTTCCTTTTCTTTTACATTAACATCTGGCCCAGTGGAAGTTTCAAATTTGTAAACATCATTCTGAATAGGAAGAAGATCATAGGCCATGGCTTGGAAAGTTAATTCATGCAAAAGTGGTGACACGCAGTCAAAACCCCTATCTAAGATAAGTAACTGTGATCTCATTTTCTCAGGACCCTAAACAGAAATATTTAATTAAATATAGGATGATTAAATTTTACAATTATCAAATTAAGTATGCATACAACAAATTTTAGAGGGAAAAATAAAATATAATATGGAAATAAAAAACTTATCAAAATTACATTTAAAAATAATTGGTACCTTAGATAAGATATTTTTAGAATTGTAAAATACTGATGCATTTCAGCAAGGAAGAGTCAATAAAAAATAAGAATATTAAAAATGCTTTTAAATTACATGGTTTTATTTTAATTACACACACTAAAAGAGAAAAAATGAGTTTTAGCTATCATAACAATCTCATTCATATGACACTAAAAATAAAATCGTGGATTGATAACAATAAAGGATTATAAATCAAATCTGTCATAAGGAAATTTAAGTGAATTGATTGTAATGAAAATTATATACAGTGCAAAGCCCGAAATCCGGTCGTCCATTATACGGAATGATCTAAAATCCGGACCTCAAAACCACCACCAATGTTCTTCTCCTAGGCTTATGCATGCGCATTCGATTCTCTGCCCCCCCCCTGCGTATAATAAAACATCTGGAGAGTCATGATTCTTAATTTCACTTCGACACTAAATAAAATACCTTGTTATTAAAGACACAAACATTTTAGCATAAATCTGTACGATCAGTAATTTGGCTCCGTTGCTGCGTATCTGCTTTTTGGCACACATCTCAAACCGAAACATTCCATATAGATACATCGTTGATCTGACGCTAAACTGGTGAATCATTATTTATTATACTTTCCTTTCATCACTGCATGCTTATCAAAACAAGGCAACTTGAGAAATAATACATGCAGCGATGCCTAAACACTTTTTTTATGTTGACATTACGCTTGGCGTTGATAACAGATTTAAATTAAATGCACTAAAAAATGTTGGCAAGGAAAAATTTACCCAAAATTTCTTTCCTTATGCTAAAAATAGATTTTGTTGATGATACTCTTAGACACAAAGACTACATTTAGGGCTATTTGAATCAAGAATAACTGATTTGTTATTCACATAAACCCAGAACCAGCAGCAGGACTTGTACGGCCGCGACGAGTCGCAGAATTTAGGACACACAGAGACTGCATCAGGCGGTAAGATATCTAGCACCGGCCCTCAATAAGGCTTAAGTATATATGGGAATTTATTTATTCAGAACTCTGATAAGTCTTAAGCATGTGCAAGAAATATACATAAGTATAATAAACAACTAATACAATTCAGGCTTAACTGTCTCAGGGTGCGATAGAAGCAAAATAAAAATTTAAAGGAACAACTTGTCATTAGTCACCAAGATCATGATGCATAGCCAAATATGTATAGTGAAGGATAGCTAAAATTTGCTGATGATAACTGCTAATTTTAAAGGTTTTCGGCTATCGCAAAACAAAGGTGAAATTTTCCAATTAACGGATTTTATAAAGAAATGTGGAAAAGCGGTAATAAATGAAGATGATATAAAAGAAGTTTTTCATTGTGATGACAATGCTTCTCAATCATCAATCAATTAATGAACGGTGAAATCTGTAGTATGGTTCTAGATCTACAAAATATTGCTGCCAACAGTGAAGAAAGTGACAGAGAAGTTACTGAAAACGAGAAAATTTTGATTGACAAGTTAGTCAGAATTCTCAAAACAGCAGTTACAGGAGTTCAACAATGTAACTAAACAAGAGATTATGTCTGTCTACAGAGTTAAAGAGAAAGTATTGGCACAAAAAAACGAAGCAACTTAAACAACTTACATTGAATGAAATGTTTAATAAGGTAAAATAATAAATATTATTATTATTATTATTTTGTAAATTTTGATACCTTTAAGATCATAAATACTTCATTATTTCATAAATCATGATTTCATATTTTTAATTTTATAATTTCTATATGCCATCTTACTAGATTTAAACTGATGATCTAATATCCGGAAAAATCCCAAATCAGGAATCGTCGAAGTCTCGACGAGTCTGGATTTCGAAATTTGTACTGTACATCATTTCTATACTATAATTTCTATTGCTTCTGAAAATTCTGTTAATGCACTAATAGCCTTGGAAGCTTTGCAATTTCAGTTGTAGTTACACTTGACCAAAAATACTACATGATTGCTAAAAATATCTTTTTAGCTTTTAAAGCATTAATTAGCAAGCTTAATTAAGTCTAATTTAGAAAGTTCTTTCATATATCTATTTTATTCCTTTTAGTCCACAGACTATGAAAATTAATAAAAAATCACTGCAACAAAATGTTGAAAATTTACATTTCCTAATCGAGTAATATTCAAATCAACTCATTTATTTGATTTAGAGATCCATTCTCATCATCTGTTAAAATTATTGGGCTGCTAATGATGAAAGATTAAGACATTTGATTTAAAAGTCCACTGTTAGCAATTGTACAATAAAAAAAAAGATTAAGCAATTTTTTAAAAAACCACCAAATCTGGCATATCATGCAAGAAATTAAAAAACACCTTAATTTAGAACAGCCTTTCTCAAACCTTTTTCAAGTGGGGCCATTTTTATAAATTAGATTGTTCTGCAGACCAATTTACTTTATTTGAATACAGTTTTGTTAACCAAGTTAATGCAGTTGTTAGAAAGTTCTCAAAATCTAAATAAATAAATAAATAAAGGGTATCTCATGTGTTATTTATTTGAATGCAGTTTTGTTTGTTTGTTGAGCAGCCTGGGTTTCTTGGATCTGTCATGAAGATCTGTATTTAAAGAGCCTTTATTAGCTAAATATGTATATTTACCTATTTTAGTCTTTATTTTCATGAAATGATATTGATCAAGGTGGCATTTATATTATTAATGAAAGAATGAAAGCAAAACATCTTAAATTATAAGCTAATATGTAACAAGAGAAAAAAAAACCTGATGACCAGATAAAACCAGTCATGGTGCTCAGAGGGTTAATCATTAATAAATACAGCACAAGCAATAAGTTTCATAAAATGTCAGTCTTATATGAGAAGAAATTGCCACATGGTATTTCCAAACTCTGAGATTTTCAACTATAATATAGTGGTGTATGCAGCTGATTTGCATTTTTTGTCTTTTCGGAAATCCGGAAGGGGGGAACAAAAAGCACCTTTGAAGACCACAGATTGAGAAATGCTGATTTAGAAGATTGTTATTTTTTCCCATATACAATGAAGCAAAAATCAAAATTTTGCTAGTTGGCCATACTACAAGACCGACAAACTTGCAGGATGTGTAGGGGATACAGAGACGACTCGAAATCACATAGGAATGCAGGGTCACAAATGCTGTATTTGTGAACTATGATGCAAAGAAGCAGAGAAAAAGAACAGAAACAGCAACACATTAATGGGGGAGAAAACCTTTTATTGAAAGGTTGCACTATAACAGGTGTTCGAAATTACAACCAGAATTCGTCTGGCAGGCCTGACAGCAGCGCTGGTGCATGGAATTCCTTACTTTCTGGAAGATTTCTGTCATGTCATGTATCTTCCTGGCAGCTACAGATATTCGAGCAACAAGGTTTTCAACTGAAGGAACAGGCATCTCGTACACTAAACACTTCATGTGACCCCAGAAGAAGAAGTCCACACTGATAGGTCGGGTAATCTGGCAGGCAAATGAACCGAGCCACCACGACCTATCCAAGTAACTGTTCAGAAGTTACGTCAAGGTGCCAATCGTGTAACATGGAGGAGCTCTGTCATTCTGGTACCACACGGAGCGGCACAATGACGGAGGAACATGTGCTGTGTCAAGAAGTTTAGGCAGGACTTGTTGCAAGAAGATCAGGTACGCCCTACCATCCAAAGGACTGGGCAGAAGGCAAGGTCCAATGCGGTAGTCTCCAAGAATGCCGGCCCAAACATTGATCAAGAATTGCTCTTAAGCTGCACATAATTGCATATAATGAGGGTTGTGTTACACTGATTGAAGGCTCTCTCATGTGTAACGCATGCTTCATCCGTTAATAATACAGCCACAACAAATGCTCTGTTTATAGCAGTCTGCTGCAGAAACCATGTAGCAAATATCCTCCGGAGTTAATAATCCTCAAGCTCTAATAACTAGATGCAATGAGGACGATACCCACTCGTTTGCTTTCCTGCAAGTATTCACCATACAACGGATTAAGATAAACCCACTTGTTAAGCTATTACTCAAGTAATCGTACTTGGATCGTCTTCTACCAGACGTAAGACCGCCTCCTCATTGTCAGGTGTCCTCATCATTCGCTGGCGATTCATTGTAGTTCTCGTTACACAACAATCTCACATACCCTTCTGTTCATACTTACGAAGGTCGTGTGATTTGAAGCATGCCTTTTGGGGTAACGTTCCTGGTACAACTGCCAAATAGCATGGCTGTTACAATCTACAGCTCCATACATGATCAACATGGCGACCAGTTCATCGTTTGAATACGCGGTCATCCTACTAGCTTGGGAAACAGATCACAAATAACAATTTCCAGCAGGATCGCTGTTTACGCAACCTTTTGTTCAGCACCATCTACTGCAAGACTGCAGGGAGGAATCTTCCGGAATGTAAGGAATTACATGCAGCTCCACTGTCTGGCCTGCCTTACAACTTCTGGTCATAATTTCTAACATTTGTTGTAGTAAAACCTTTCAATAAAATGTTTTCTGTCCCATTATCTGTGTTGCTGTTTCTGTTTTTTTTTCTCTGCTTCTTTGCACCATAGCTCGCAACTATGGCATTTGTGACCCTCATTCCTATGTGATTCCGAGTTGTCTTTATACCCCCTACACACCCTGCAAGTTTGTCGGTCTGGCAGCGAACCACCCTGTATATATAATATATATATATATATATTATAACTTGTAGAAAAAATACAAAACATATGTGGGGAAAAATTTCATGAAAATTGGATCAAGAATTAATTTCATAATTCGATCCAAATAAACACAACATTAAAAAAACTATAGAAAAAATATCACAACTACTACAACTTTTGTTTTATATGTTCAAGAAAATAGTGATAAAAGAAATATATCTAGAATAAAACAATTCTTGAAAATGATTAAAAAAGTTTTAAATTTTTAATCACTTTAACCTAAAAATTATTTAACCCCTTCAGGACGGGTGTATCATATATGCATCAGCAGCTAATCCTCTTACAAGATGGCATGCCACTTAGCGCAACTCACCTTGAAGACAGCGTGTTGAACCAGTCCATCACCCGGTTGCTAGTGTTATTTAGGACTAATGCATATACGACATACCCGTCTGCAGAGGGTTTTTATTTCAGCAACATGCCCTTGTGAAGGGGGTTAATAGTTAGCATTTTATATATATTAAGATTAAATAACAATGAACAGTTATACATACTTCTCCCATTGTAGGCTCATCTGCTTTGTAGGCATCTAATTTTTGTTGAATCAATTGTGCTAATTCTACATTTCGATCAAATTCACTATAAAAGGATAAAAGAACAAGTATATGTACAAGTATTTACACCATATTTAACAGTAAAGTGACATATTAAAATCTTGCTATTTAATGAATTTTTTTATTGTAGATAATATAATCCATAATTAACATACAAAACATTTACTCAAAAATAAGTCATCCACATACATTTTAGGATAAACTTTTAAAAATGAAAACTAAGTCAATATTTGATGACAGCATGGTTCTACTTAGAATTCATTTGATTCTTATTAGAATTAAATTCAAATTACATAATTAAGTACAATATTTTACTATGGTATAAAAAAGAAAAATCAGCATTAAATTTATTACCTATTTGTTTTCAGACATACCAGTAACCAATAAAGCAGATGCAGGTCTTATTGAATTTGCTCAACTAGATAATTAGTGAAGTCTATTTACTTTACATATATGGTAATTACCTCTGTGATTTATTTAGCATTTAAACAGTAATTATTCTATACAGTAAGTTAATCAAATTCATTCTTTTTTCTAGAATTTCATTTAATGAAATATCCAATAACAAGACTGCCAAATTTTAGAACAGAAATACAGCAAAAAAAGGAGTTCTTATTTTTGAGTGAGTATGACATTAACTACAGAAAAGCAGGATTAATTAAAGCAATTTGTTTTAGTATCATGGCAATCTTTCTAAATATGTTTTGAAGCAATACTACAACAAACATATTCATATTTTTGTAATTATGCAGAATTCAACCCTACATGAAGAAAAGAAAGAGTAAAAGGGAAAAAAAAGTTTTTTTCCTTATGACTATATTTAAATTTTTTAATAATTCATCATTTTATATTATGCATTAATAGTTCAATAATGAGGTAGGTAGTATGTAATTTAGCACTTTTAGTTCATTACTTTTTGATGATGCCACTAAACTTGATTGTTATTTTAACAATTTTTCCCCTACTGTTTTACTATATGTTTGAATATGAAAAGCCCTGAATTTTTTACTTTATGAAGTTATTATTATTGACTTATAAAGCTACTAAAATTTAAATTTACTGGAATTAGCTTTATTTATGTATTCTTACTTATTTGCATTTAGTTCCATATTTAAAAACAGTATTTTAGTAGTGCCATCTAAGAAATAACTAACTAGAAGCAGTATGTCACATACTTTATCCTTAGCAATTTATTAGACATTAATTCTTAAATCTATTCATAAACTTGTGTACTCAGCAGTTTCCGAAAATCTATACTGATGTTTATATAATCTATCAAAAATTCTTTAACAAAAAATCTCAAATGAAATACACAATAATCATCACAATTTTTAGACAATGAGCTTAATATAATTACATCTAATATGGGGAAATACTAAGCAATAATAAGCAAATTCAGGATTTATTTATCTACTTTTATTTCTACTAACATTTTCTCAATTTAAATTTGACATTCAGCCTAAACAGATGTTCTATACCAGATGTTCTTGTTCTATACCTTAACTAAATTAATTTCAAATTCACTTACTATCGATATCGAAGGTTCGGATACTCTCCAAGGGTTGCACAAACAGTTGCTATTTGTTCAGCAATGCGTTCAAGATTTGCAGAGTGAGAACTTTTTGAAGGATTGTAATATAACTGAAATGTTTCTGGATAATCCAGTGAAAAGACCTAGGATAAAAAATACTTAATAATTAAAATGGTTCTTTGCATTTAAATATGTGTATCAAAGTCTACAAAAAAATAAACCAAATTATCTAAAATTGAAAACATTTTGCATAAATGCATGCCTATAATTAAGCTGATAAAAATTATAATTATTTATTTCAAAAGTGTTTCTTTTAAAAACACCTTTCCTTCCTCTTCTCTTGAGTAAAAGTTTGTCAAATTGGAAAAAACAAGTGGGGAGGGGACACTAAAAATGCATCTGAACTGAACATTTATAAATAAATGTGAAAACAGTATGCCAAATTAATAAATGACAAAACAGCAAAGTATTAAAATGCTAATACTATGATTTATTAAAAAAAAAAAAAACAAGTGCTAAACTGAATCTACTAATATTGAATATGACACACCATTTTCCTCATTAAAATATAAAGTACCTAGAACTATTATACAATAAAATAAAATACAGTTTTACCTGAGATTCATAAGGAAGAAAGGCAATATTGATTTCTTTCAAGGTTTTTATATATTTAGCAGTTGGCGATTTGCATAGTTCATTAAATAATTCATCAGGACATGCTAAAACAAAATTTTATTATCATAAAGTTGTTACAAATACATATAAATCAGTACAATTCTATTATTGGGACCACAAAAAATCACCAAACTATTGCTGATGCCAATAAGTACTGTAATCCTAACACAAAGAAGGAAGCATAATCATAAAGAACTATTTAAGAATATTATTTTCATTTGATAAAAGGTTAATTTCATGTATTAAATTTTTTATTACAATCCATAAAAAAATAAAACAGTTAAACAACTGAAATTAAACAGAAGGCACAAAATTTTTAATTTCTTCCAACATTGCAGAGAAAATATCAGTTTTTGGGGGCAAAAGCAACAACATAAATTAGGGTAAATATGAATTGAGGTTCTGTTGAGCAGTGCCCTGATGGCATTTATTACATCATTTAGCACTGCCCAACAGCCACTCTACTGTTTGTGTACGAGACCCACTTTTCGAGTCCATGAAATTATATTTGTGACTGACAGTAAAATGTTCAAAACAAGTTATATGCTTTCCAGTAAATAATGCTTCTTTCTGCAATTCTTTTACGACATTCAATAAATTTTTTGCCAAATGATTTGTAACAACAAGTAAAAAAACATTCGTCTCATTCTTAGCATAATCCACCCAAAACCCTGGTGAAAGAACATACCCAATATTGTTCTTTCTTCGGGAGAAAAGGCTTTCATCTACTTTAACGATCTTGTTACATTTGGCAATTTTCAACTCAGGCTAAACAATTAAATCTGTGTCAGATATCTAATGCTTGTAACTGTTCCAGGTTACAGTTACATTGTTGTTCATCTTCAGATAGAGTTCACAAAATTCAATAGCTGTTATCTTCTGACATCATAATAACATTAAATTCAAGGCTACTGCAGCTATATTTCTCTGTTAATTGTATTGATAAAACAATCTCATTTCTTTCATAATTTCTATTGCAAATAATGCTTTTCCTTTGAGGTTAAGTTAGGTTAAGTTATTTAATTACGGTTAAGCCTCGAGGGCTATCTGCCTAAGCGGAGGGATATCTTCGTGGAGGGGTTTCTAAAGGAAACTGACTTGTATACACGTTACACATGGGGAAAACCACGAAAACAAACATGCAGCCAGCCCGTTCGCGGGATTCGAACCTCGGACCGAACCACCAGTGTTCAGCGTCTATACCGCTCGGCCGCTGGTGGGCGCTTTTCCTTTGAAAAAATTACATTGTGCACTTTTCATCCTTGGATAATTCCCAAAATGTTAGATCCATAGCATAATCAAAGAAATTAAAAAAATTAAACTAATATTTCAATGGCAACTTAAGAGTCTAGAACTATATAAATTTACACACAGTCTAAAGTAACATGCATTTTGAGAAACCTAAATTTGCATGCAGTCTGCAATTAAATGTGCACATTTGCTAGGTTTAGCATTTCGATAAATATATTTTTATTAGGATTTTGTATAGTCCCCAATAACGGAATCGTACTTATAAATCATACAATGATAAGAAGCAATTATTACAATCATTAGTTGAAATGCATAATACCAAATCTCTATATTCACCTTCTGTGAAAAAAATATGAGCAGACCTATACATGTTCCGATTCACTTGAAAATCCCGCATTAGTCGTTCAACAGACTAAAAAAAAAAATAAATAAATAAATAAAACTGAAGGAAAATAGATGCAAGGAATAAATTACATAATGCATATTTATAATTGACATTTACATTAAATTTATTATAAATTCAATCAAAAAATTCATTAATAGAATGTACATTTAGTTGCAATTAATATCATGATAGCAAAAATACTTTTTTTAATCCTTCTTTCCCCATGTATTAAAATTTAAAAGAATGATGCATTATGCGAAATTTTAAAAATGATTCTATGTTTTACATTTAAACAGCTGAAAAAATATCTAATCATAAATCAATAATTATTCAAGGAATGTTAAAATATTATATGATATAGATTCATAAGATAAAATAATCCATAACATTATAAGATAAAATAATCATGCGTGATGCAGCAAAGCAGCAGCAAATAATCTTAAGATCAATATGTTTCCTGCCTTTTCAGCAGTCACTGTAACTGCATTACTTACCACTCGAATCTCTCAAAAACGACTTTTGGTTATGAGTACATGAAGATCATTTCATTCATAAAGGTCATTTCAGTAATAAAATGACTGAAGTAATTAAGTAATAAAATGACTTCAAGATAATTTCAGTCATTCTGTAATGATCATTTGACTGATGATTCGCAATTTTGGTCACTTCATTCTTAATATTTAAAATAAAGAAGCAGTAATCATTTCTCCATTGCTAGAAGAAGCAAACTTTCGTAGCAAGCTTTAAAAAAGCAGTAATTATTTCTCCATTGCAAGAAGAAGCAAACTTTCCTAGCACGCTTTAACTCTTTCGCAACGAAGTTGCCCGTAACTGTTCATTCAGGCAACGGCAAACCGCCCCAACACCTCGTTTATTTTCTACCTAGTGCTTTCCCCCTCCACGTTAGTGTATGGCTCATTGGTTTTGCGAGTTGTTAAGAGACATGTCAATCATTCTTTTGAAGCAACTAAAGGAGACATACGGAAAGCTATTAACGTTCGCAGGTGCAATCCGGCCCTAAGGTGAAACTGCACACAATGGATGAAACCGCTGAAAAACCCCCGAGAGAGAAGCAGTCATTTCACTTAAGTAGGTTATTGTTAATGCTGTAGCTATTTACTAGGCAGGGGGAAAGGAAAACGATTCCAAGACAAATTCGTAAACACGGGCGTTTTCGATGTTTGATGAAAACAGATCTGGTCGTCTCTCGATGCGAAAGAGTTAAAGAAGCAGTAATCATTTCTCCATTGCAAGAAGCAAACTTTCCTAGCATGCTTTAAAGAGCGGATCTCTCTTTCACAGAAGTCTAGCAACTCAATGGCAGTCTGGCCAAGACTTTTTTTTCTTTTTAATTTCTAATGGGCGCTGTCTAACCTCGTCAACAATACAGAATCTAAGCAGTTGTGAGAGTAATCACAAGAAATAAATCATACAGTTTTACCATATATTCAATAAATACTAGAGATCACAAAAATAAATCAAAACAAGAAGTGCTAAAAAAATATGGTTGCAACAGAAAGCAGGCATTCATTGGCAAGTCATTTTTATTTCTGTAGCCTACCCAAGTTTCAAGAGTAAGATAGAAGTACAGTACAAAGCCCACAATCCGGACTCGTCGGGACTTCGGAGATTCCGGATAAGGGGTTTTTCTGAATTATAGATCATTAATTTAAATCTGGTAAGATGGCATGCAGAAATTATACAATTAAAAATATGAAATCCTAATTTATGAAATAAAGAACAATTATGATCTAAAGGGCATCAAAATTTACAAAAAAAAAAGCTTAATATTTATGCATTTACTTTATTAAAAATTTCTTTCAATGCAAGTTGTTAAAGTTGCTTTGTTTTTTGTGCTAATACTTTCTTTTTAATTCTATAAACAGACATAATTCCTTATTCAGTTACAAAGTTCCACTGTTCCTGTAGTTGGTGTGTCGAAAATACTGACTAACTTGTCATCGAAATTTTTTCATTTTCAATAACCTCTCTGTCACTCTCTTCACTATCGGAAAGCGGTTGATGATTGGGGCATTGTCGTCACAATAAAAAACTTCTGTTATATCATCTTCATTTATTACCGTTTCTCTACATTTCTTTACAAAATCCAATAACTGGAAAATTTCGCCTTTAGTTTGCGATGTCCGAAAACCTTCAAATTCGCGGCTATCATCTTCATCATCCTCACCATGAAATATGGCCATAAATTATGTCACGCATTTTTTAACGTATCTGGAGACACATCCTCCACGATCTTGCAATGCTCCACATAGCAGATTTTATGCTAAAAAATAATTATCTAAAGGGTATCAAAATTTACAAAAAAAAAAAAAAAAAAGCTTAATATTTTATTTGTTTACTTTATTAAATATTTCTTTCAATGTAAGTTGTTTAAGATGCTTTCACAAAAAATTCAAAAAGTTCCTTTTTCTTTTGTCATATATAGTGGACTTTCCAATGCCATACTTCTCGCTTAATTTTGAGACAGGTAGGCCTTTATCCATTTTTTGCAGCAATTCCACTTTTTGTTTATAGGACATCGAAATATGCTTCCGCTTTGTACATCCTTTGGCAGCTCCAGAATTGGAAACTCTTTTTGACATAATCAAAAGTTCAAGCTTAATTTTTATAAAATTGTTCTAACAGTCTGCAAAAAAATAATAAGCTGCATCCAATTAGAAGTTTACAGAACAGCACAATCTGCAACACTAACTGAAATGCCTTAGATAATTTTAGCCTAGCTTATACCTTCTGTTATACATTAAACGTGCATGCGTAAACGCATATGCGCATAAAGTTTGTAGCTTTGAGGTCTGGATTATAGATCATTCTGGATTATGGACATCCGGATTACAGACTTTGTACTGTACTACAAACTTGATGAAAATTTAACTTGCCTTAAAAGTATAAGAAGTTCCTGAAACTTTCAAGAAAATCCATGTGATCACATTTTCTATACATTAAAAATGACTCAAATTATTTATTAATTATTCAGGATAAATAAAAAATATGAAATATAAATGTCACATAAGCAATTATTAATTTTTTTTGCTTCCTTTTACCACTAATTAATTTTAAATAAATTACAAAATATTTAAAAATTTTGATCATTTTAAAATAGAAAAGGAAAAAAGGACCTTATCAGTAGGTGTTATCAAGTAGATAGCTTCCATGTTAGGTAACGGCTCACGAATTTTTTCAATATCTTCCACAACTGCAAAAAAAAAATTAAGCATAAATAATATATAAAAGCACACAAATAAGGCATTTCTTTTGATTTCCAACTAAATCAAAATTTCTTTTCCATTCAAAATACTAATAGTAATATTTTAAAAATATATCAACATTTTAATAAAACATTCCTGCATCCTATCAAGGAAAGAAAGCATTTATGAACAAGAAAGGGACTGACCTTTTATAAATTGTGTTAATTTTAACAAACCCCTAAAAGTTACAAAATTTATAAAATGCCATTGAAATCTTGAAAGTTGTATCTTATTTATACTGTAACCTATACCATTTAACTTAAACTATATGTCTAATTCTGAATTTCAAAATTTTAGATTCATTTTTAAAACACTGATAACTAATCAAATGTCAGCAACTGTATATATATTTTTAGATATTTACAGATAAACACCAACTTTGAAGTTATATGTCTTCATTTAACATTTCCAAATACATGGAAATTCTAGAAACAGAAAATCCATTACTGATACAGTGTCAGACAAAATCAAAATAATAGAACCTATCTCTTGCACCTTATCCAGAAACTGTGAACATATACCTATTTTTGTGTGGTGAATAGGGACCGCATAAAAAAAATCACATAAAACTTCACGAGTAGCTATAAAAAGTACCGTCATTTATAGTTGACTTTTTTCAGTTATCACGTAGACAGTTAACAGTTTTTGCGATGACTGTTGTTTCTCTAGACATTTGTATATGTCTTGGTAGCCGGATATACAAGATTGAAGCTCCTTTTTTTATTGATTATTTATTTATTTATTTATTTTTATAACTTTGTCAATTTTGTTCCAATTTGATTGAAATTTTCATATGCCATAAAAAAATCACACATAAAAAGACTGCACATAAACTGGTTTGAATGCAACTGAAACCGATTCCACGATAATGCAAATTAAACGACTGCAATCAATTTACTTATTTAAATTTATAATACATTCCATTTCTTTCAAACTATTGTAATTTATAACACATAACAATATGCTTCTGGTTAATACATAACAATATGCTTCTGGTTATGCTTTTTCTCCAATTAAGAAATGATTTGAACTTTGTTTATAAAGTTCACAATATCCAATAGCAACAATAGAGCTCAGCAAAAATTTTTCACCTGATTGTGAGACTACTACATATCACACAGCACCATTCCAAAATAAAAGAAATAATTCATATATACAGAATATATCATACATTAAACAGAATTCTACACATACTGTACAAAGTCTGAGATCCGGACCCGTCAGACGTCAACGGTCCCGGATTTGGGAATTTTGCGGATATTAGATCACCAGTTTAAATCTAGTAAAATGGCATCTAGAAATTAAAAAATTAAAAATATGAAATTGTGATTTATGGAATAATAAAGCATTTATGATCTAAAGGGTATCAAAATTTTCAAAAAAAGAACTTTATTAAACATTTCTTTCAATGCAAGATGTTTAAGTTGCTTCGTTTTTTGTGCTAATATTTTCTCTTTAATTCTATAGACACATATAATTTCTTGTTCAATTACAAAGTTCCATTATTCAAGTCCTGTAATTGCTGTGTCGGGAATTCCAACTAATTTGTCAATCGAAATTTTTTCATTTTCAATAACCTCTCTGTCACTTTCCTCATTATTGATGGTATTTTCTGGATCCAGAGCCATACTACAGATTTCGCCGTTTTGTTAATTGACTGATGATTGGGGCATTCTCATTGCAATGAAAAACTACTGTTATATCATCTACATTTATTACTGCTTCTTCACATTTCTTTACAAAATGCATTATTTGGAAAATTTCAGCTAATTGGTTTGCAATATCCGGAAACTTTCAATTTCATGGCTATCATCTTCATCATCCTCATAATAAAATATGGTAGCTGGACATAAATTATGGCAATTATTTTTTTAAGTATTCTGGAGACACATTCTCCCACATCTTGTGATGCTCCACACAGCAGATTTTATGCTAAAATATTTCAAATATTACTGAAAAGTCTTGCCATTATTCAAGAATTTTAACACGGATTTTAAAAATGCTACTTTATGTTTGCATTTCAGTGTGTGCACTACTCGAAAATCCACAGGCTGAATGATGGTCGTATAATTTTGAGGAAAGAATAATACGGATACATTATCTTTCACTAGTGGAGTCTGAACTGTACAATTGTCTAAAATCAGAACAATTTTTGCATCATCAGGTAAACCAACCGAATTCAAACATTGCCGAGCCTCAAGTATGAAGTGATTTTCAAACCAATCAATCATTAATACTTATGTCATCAATGCTCTTTTATTTGTGCGATACATAACAGGGAAAATCTTTACTTCTTTAAATACTCGAGGTTGTGTATTTTTTCTGGCTACAAAAAATTTACACTTGCATGTTCCTACAGCATTTGCACATGCTAAAATTGTTAGCCTCGCTTTGGAATCTTTGACACCAGTTGGAGCCTTTTCTGTAGAGAATGAATAGGTATTTCCCAGTACATATTGCCAGAAAAGACCAGTTTCATCAACATTGTAAATGTGTTCTTCATATGGATTTTCACTTACATTGTTGGCTACGTATCATGAGATTGGCGACAATAGGACAAGTTGTTCTGCTAAATTTTGTCTTGCATCTATCGTGCAAGAAAACTAAGCTTGAAGTGTATTAGATATTTATTATACTTACATCTATTTCTGGCAAATGCTTAAGGCTAACCTAAGTATTGAATAAATAAATTCCAACATATACTTAAGGCTTATCGAGGGCCAGCGCTAGATATCTTAATGCCTGATGCAGTCTTTGCAGGTCATAAATTCTGCAAACAAATGCCTCGATAAGTTCTAAATTTCTGCCGCCCATATATTTTTGGTCCCAGTGATTTACCTTATAACTAAAAATTTTGGCATCCCTTAACTTTGTTGCTCGATGTTTGTGTAAATTCCAAAATTTCGTCTTCCCTAAATTCTGCCATCCGGTGCTGCCATATGAGCTCTGGCGCTGGTTCTGGGTTTATGCGAATAACAAATCAGTTATTCTTATTTCAAATAGCACTAAATGTAATCTTTTGGTCTATGATCATTAACAAAATATATTTTTACCATATGGAAAGAAATTTGTTCAATTTTTCCTCGTGAACAAATTTCTTCTTCATTCTTAACTTAAATCTGTAATCACTACCAAGCGTAATACCAACAGAAAAGGCTACCATACTTCTTGTCATTCAATTACTAATATAAAGAAAAAAGTTCAAGCATCGCTGCACAATTCATTACTCAAGTTATCATGTGTTGCATAAACATGCAATGATGAAAGCAAAATATAATAAATAATATCGCAGATTATTAGCAGGTGTAAACTCAACGATGCTTCTTTGTAGAATGTTTCGGTTTGAGATGTATGCCAGCACATAATACACAGCTGCGAAGTCAAATTATTGATAACGCAAATTTATGCTAAAAAATGATATTTTTTTCAATAACGAATTTTTTTATTTAGTGCTGAAGTGAAATTAAGAATTAGGACTCTCCACGTTTTATTATGGGGGAAAAAAAAAATCAAATGCACATTCGTAAAGCACACAAAACAAAAACAAAATAAAAAGTAGTTAGCTTTGAGTTTCCAGATTTTAGATTATTCCGGATATTGGATGTCCAGATCTCAGACTTTGTACTATATTATATTTTCTGTGTATCTTGCATATTTTTCTAAAAGGTGGCAGTTATTTATACAGTACAAAATCCGAAATACAGATGTCCATTATCCGGAATGATCTAAAATCCGGAACTCAAAACTACCAACAACGTTCTTCTCCTAGGCATTACGCATCCGCATTTGATTCCCCCCCCCCTCCACGCAAAATAAAACATCTGGAGAGTCACAATTCTTAATTTCACCTCGACACTAAATAAAATACCTTGTTATTGAAGAAACAAACAGTTTAGCATAAATTTGAACAATCAGTAATTTGGCTCCATTGCTGCTTATTTGCTTTTTGGCACACATCTCAAACCGAAACTTTCCACATAGATGCATCGTTGATCTGACGCAAAACTGGCGAATCATTTTTTATTATACTTTCCACAGCGTGTTTATCAAAACATGACAACTTGAGTAATAACTCACATAACGATGCCTTAACATTTTTTTTTAATGTTAGTAATTGAATAATAAAGGAGTATGGTAACCATTTATGTCGACATTATGCTTGGCGATGATTACAAATTTAAGTTAAATGCGCTAAAAAATAGTGACGAGGAAAATTTTACCAAAAATTTCTTTCCATATGCTAAAAATAGATTTTGTTGATGATACTCATAGACCCAAAGATTACATTTAGGGCTATTTGAATTAAAAAAACAACTTATTTATTATTCACATAAACCCAGAACCAGCACCAAAGCTCATATGGCCGCACCGAGCCCCAGAATTTAGGACCCACAGAGATTGCATCAGGTGGTAAGATATCTAGCGCCAGCCCTCAATAAGGCTTAAGTATATGTGAGAATTTATTTATTCAGAACTTTGATAAGTCTTAAGCATGTGCAAGAAATAGACATAAGTATAATAAATAACTAATACAATTCAGGCTTAAGTGTCAAAGTGCGCGATAGAAGCAAGATAAAATTTAACAGAATAACTTGTCATTAATCGCCAAGCTCATGATGCATAGCCAAATATGTATAGAGAAGGATAGCTAAATTTGATGATGATAGCCACTAATTTTAAAGGTTTTCGGATACCGCAAAATAAAGGTGAAATTTTCCAATTAATGGATTTTGTAAAGAAATGTGGAGAAGCTGTAATAAATGAAAATGATATGAAGGAAGTTTTTCATTGTGATGACAATGCTTCTCAATCATCAATCAATTAACCGTTTGAGTCCGGCGAAGTGCTATCACACTTCACTTGTCGTATGCCAAAAATACGGCGCAGTGCGATAACGCTTCTCTTGTTTTTGTATCGAGAATGCGAAGATGCTGCTGTTGGTTAGTAT